TATATATATATATATATATATATATATATATATATATATATATATATATATATAAAATACTATTCCAAATAACTAACATACTACCCCGTGTGACAACAGGATGCATCAGAGAAGCGGCTCTGTAGATACGAGTGATTCCATGTTTGTTTAGTGGCAACCTCAGACTAACAACATACCTGAGACTCACAGACAGTAAGGAACGACCGTTGCAGACCACAGGGTGACAAGGAAGGCTCTGGCTGGTTGCCACTGGGCCTTACCAGATGCCTTCAACTAAGAGAATGACCCCCAGGGCCCCAGGATGTGGTCAGCAGCTTGGTCATTCAGAAACTCGGAGTCAGTTCAAACAGAGGTCACTGCGGTCTACCTAGAGGCTATGCAAATGAACACCTGGACAGTCTTTCCCACTAATGCCGAAGGAAAGCTGACACAGGTGAAGAGGTTAGCCACTGACTATGTTTTCTGTGAAAAATATGCTCCAGTGTTTTCTATGAAAAAGCACTGCTGCAGCCACGCATCGCCACCTCCAGCCCCCCCCCCCCCCCAAAAAAAAGCGTGTCAAACTTAACTTACCTCTTTCAACTGGGTTATCATTCCAAGAACAATCACGTCACCAACTTTGCTTGTACTACCCAATAAAGTTTCTATTGTTTTAAGCTAAAATAAAACAGAATAAAAACTTAAAGACTAGAAAGCATATTCTTTTTTTACAAGTAAGTGTTGAGAACACATTTTCCGACATGCAGCTGCTTTATAGTCCAAAGACTAATCAGCAAGTTTAGTTTTATCCTTCAAAAAGCTGAAGGGTGAAGTGTGTATGTAATGCACAGAAACAGTCAGGTGTGGTGGCGCACGCCTGTGGCTCAGGGTGGCAGAGGCAGGCGGATCTTTGTGAATTCCAGGACAGCCTGGTCTACAAATCAAGTCCAGGACAGCCAAGGCAACAAAAAGAAGCCCTGTCTCGAAAAAAACCAAAATAAAACAAAAAACAGAAATGTAACCAAAGAAGACAAGTGTAGGCAAACAGGCAAATATATAAACATAAAATAAACCTTAGAATTAAAAAAGTTAAAGGGTCATTCAAATAATTAACAAGTTTCTTTAAAATTTATGTCCTAATTATATATACACTATTTTTTTAAAGTTGTTATTTACAGTCTCAACCTGATAATTATACTTTATATCAGAAAGTCAGAGCTGGTGGTGGTATACGCCTTTAATCTCAGTACTCTAAAGGCAGAGAAAGATAGATCTCTGTGAGTTAAAGGCCAGCCTGGTCCATGTAGCAATGTCTCGAAATCAGAAAGAAGAACAGAAACACATTACGGAAGTAACAATAATTAGGGCACCATCTTGTTGTGGTGATGTAGCCTTGGCTGGCCTGGAACCTACCACGTTGACAAGACTAGCCTCAAACTCACAGAGATTCCTCAGTGCTGGGATTAAAGGTGTGAATGAAAGAATATAAATATTCAGCTTCCTATATCTATGGATTCTACCCCTGAGGTTTCAACTAATTTTGTCTCAAAAATATTTGAAAAAAAAAAAAGTTGTATCTATATTGATTGTACACAGACCTTTTAAGTTTTATTTATTTATTTTATGTGTATTGAGCACTCTATCTGCATGTACACATGCACACACAAAGAGGGCATCAGATCCTAGGGAGCCTAGTAGAGGTGGTTGCTGGGAATTGAACTAAGAACCTCTGAAGAGCAGACAATGCTCTTAACTACAAAGCCAGCTCTCCAGCCCTCTTTTCTTTTATTCAAACTTAGGGATCAAACTTAGGTGCTCATGCAGACTGGTGAAGTGTTCTAGTTCTGGTCAAATGTACCACTGAGCTACATCCAACAACTACATGAACTTCATTCATTCATTTATATATTTATGGTCTTTTAAGAGAGGCTTCCTCTGTGTAGCCCTGACTGTCCTGGAACTAGCCTCAAACTCATAAAGATTTGTCTGTCTCTGTCTCCTGAGTGCTGGGAATAAAGCTGTGTGCCACCATCACCACCACCACCTGGCTGAGCTTTCTTATTCTTGCCATTATATTCTAAGCAAAAACTTTTATAGCGTTTCCATTGTATTATATAGTATAAGTGATCGAGGGATGATTAAGTATACAGGAAGATGCACAGGTTACATGCAGCTAATATGTCGTGTGATATAAGGACTGGAACAGCCATGGATCTTGGTGTCCTCCGGCTCGGGTGCTAGAACCGGCTGTTACATATGCTAAAGGGTGACAATTTTGTCTCCAAACGGCTATTAAAGAAGAGTTAAGTTGCTCACAAATTTCTGCAAATATAAACAATACTTGATATTTCTGTACACATTGCTTAGTCTACGACATGGGCACAGCTGTTAGACAACTTTCACAGCCTCCAGACGTGATACTGCTACATCAAAAGCTTTTCTAAAAATTAGCAGGTAAAATTTCTTTCCTCTTTATCACACTGTGTTTTTAACACAAATAATCCATGTATACTTTAGAAACAATTAAAAAAAAACACAGGTAAAGAAGAAATACAGACATGTATAATCTCATCACTCCACATTAATCACAGTTAAGGGTTGATGTTGGGGGCTGGATGATGGCTCAGTGGCTAAGAGCACTTGCTGCTCTTGCAGAGGGGCCAGGTTTGGTACCCAGCATCCACGTGGGAACTCACCGCCATCTGTAACTCCAATTATAGGAGATCCAATACCCTTTTCTGGCCTTCCTGGGTATGAGGCATACACACAGAGCACAGATTCACATGTAGGAAAAATATCCGTACATGGGGCTGGAGAGATGACTCAGCAGTTAAGAGCACTGGCTGCTTTTGCAGAGGATCTGAGTTTGGTTCCCAGCACCCACATAGGTAGCTCACAGCCACCTGTAACTCCAGCCTCATAATGTCTTCTGACCTCCTCAGGCACGAGGCATACTCATGGCACACACACACACAGGCAAAACACTCATAGACATAAAAATTAATTTAAATGTTTTTAAATAAATATTAATTTAAAATTTAAATAAATATTAAATAAAGTTGATGTTTGGAATTCTACTTAAAGAACATCAACGTGAAGCAACAAAGACATGAGAAGGTATGACTGTTTTTAGAATCAAGCCCAAGGCTTTCTATGTGCTAGGCAAGTGCTCCGCTGCCCAGGTGCACTCCAAGCCCTCCAAATATGTATGAAAGACACCATTCTTGTTGTTTATAGAAGAAAGTTTCCACTTAGATTCTATTAATACAGTCTATTTAGGGATCTGCTTGTTCTTAAGTACAGCTTAAATAAGAAACAAGCCAGCCGTGAGAGACACAGAACGAAACAGGAAGGCTGAAAAGAGCAATACATTATTTAGCCATATAAGTCTAAAAAGTATTTTGACAAAGAGGAGAGAAAGTATTGCATGCTGGCATCAGAAACCTAATACACAAGACACAGAGAGACTTTGGTAGGGAAAAGTAAGTCATTTCCAAAACGACACAAATTATATTCTAATACAGCTAAGCACAGAAACAGTCAAATACTATTAGTGTTTCTCTTTGTGTGCCACCACTGAACACTAATTTTTGTTGGGTTTTGTTTGTTTGTTTGTTTGTTTCTGAAACAGAGTCTCATGCAGCTCAGGCTGGCTTTGGACTCACGACAGAGCTAAGGATGAGCTTGAATTCCTTACTTTCCTGCCTCCACCTAAGTGCTGGGGTTTTAGGTCCACACCACCACTCTCTCACGCATCAGTCTGAATATCATCCCATATTCCTAATCTCTAACAGACTACTCAGCATAATGAATTCTGACCTACCATGGCAGAGAACACTGAAGAGTTGGGACCCCCTTCAAACCCACTTAGAACCTCAGGAAAATGGCGAGGCCCAGACAGAAACAAGGGCCATCCCTAAGCAGGGTTCTGAATGCTAGAGAGGAAGGCAGAGCCACAGACAGACTGATGGTGGTCAGGCAGACTGCTGGAACTAAAATGACAGTGCTGTCTGGTAACCGCCTTCTAAACTGTGACAGTGGAGGCTGCACACAGTCCAGCTCTCCTGCACTCAAGCAGCAACAACTCTAGGGCCCACCTGACCCTCACAGTCTCTCTTCATTGTTTCTTCAGTACACTGGGAGGTGGGGAGGTACTGAAACCAACATTCCCTCAAGTGTTCCTTCAGTGGATACGGCACATTTCAGTCCATAGATCTGTGGTCTGTGGTGGTCAAGAGAAGGACAGGCAATAGCCAGTGTTCTGAGTGAGGGCACGAAGGGTAATGAAGCCGCCCCCAAAGGTGTGCAGGGCTCAGTTTGGAAGCCAGAGACCACGTGGACGTTTCCCTGGCACTAGGCCTGCTCCAAAGACAGAGCAGTAATTCTGCTAAAGATCCACAGGGCCCACCACACTAGACAGGGCCTCACCAGCAACAGTCATGTAGCCCTGCCTACAAACAAGCTGAACAGAAATACAAGTTTATTTTCACTTGAAATCCAGTGAATTAACCGTGCATGGCAGTACATGCTTTTAATCCCAGCACTGGGAGGCAAAGGTATGTGTACGTTTTAGGGGCCAGCCTGTCTACACAGCAAGATACAGGCCAGCCAGGGCACAAAGTGAGACTCTATCTCAAGTAAAAATTTTAAAAAAGTAGCCCATAGACTCAAGTCTCCAAGTGGGGTCCCTAGTAAGGGAAACAGGGGTTGTCTCTGGCATGAACTCAGTGGCAGGCTCTCTGATCACCTCTTGGGGGGGGGGGGGAGTACAGCCTTGCCAGTCCACAGAGGAAGACAATGCAGCCAGCCCTGATGAGAGCTCATAGGCCAGGGTCAAATAGAAGGGGAGGAGGACCTCCCCTATCAGTGGACTAGGGGAGGGGCACCGGGGGAGAAAAGGGAGGGGGCCACAGCCAGGCTACAAATTGAATAAATTGTAATAAATGATAATAATAAAAAAACAACAAAAACCTGAATGAATTAAAAGTAGCCAGGCAGGCAGGACAGCTGTTGGGGAAAGCACCTGCCACAGAGTCTTAATGGCCTGAATTCAATCCCCAGGTCCCACAGGCGGAACAAAGAACCAACTCCTGCAAGAGGTCCTCTCACTTACCCCTGTGTCATAAGCACACAAGTACACACTAAAGTAAGTGCACAAAAAGGTAGCAATAATATTACACCTGTATTAATATATACACTCCTTAATTAAGACAAACCTGGAATTTGCTTCCGCTTTCCTCGGGGTGTGAGCCTATCACCGGAGGGGTGAATAATTCATGTCTGTGTGTCCTCTGTAAAAAAGAGAGACCCTTATGAATTACTGAACTAGACTGTAACCTGCCTGTGCTACTTTGTGGGTTCTTTTTTCTTCCACTCTTCTCCACCCTTTCAATACCCTAACACTAGATATGAGAGGTAAAAAAAAGAATAGAGAGGAAAAGAAAGATCCCTGAATAAAGTCAGGGTTTGGAAAGGGAGCGATATTATCTCTAGACTACTTCCTGCTGATGAGGGGTGTCTAGCTCCTTGGGTAAGTTTGATCTTTGTTGTCAGGATAACTTTCTTCCTGTTGTGCATGAATATTTAACCAACCGTGACCAACTGCAAACAACAACCAAACAACAACCCACCCTACCTCTCGGGGCCCTAGCCTTTACATACCCTCTGAAAAGTCCCCAGAATTCCAACTATTACACAGTTGTGGAAACTATCTGTAGCTGGCAAAATCACAGCCCTGCTAGAGCTCCAGGCAAATCACACCACCTGCTGTGAAGCAGCCCCACATCCCCATACCTGGGATTAAAACGAAAACATTTTTATAACATTTGTATGTTTATAAAGAAACCAAAAACTCCAAAATTGTCACTACACTAGACATTTAGGAGAAAGATTCCTTAAAACATTGAAGATAAACAATGGCCCTAAGCTATTACTGTTGCTTATTCTCAACACATTTGAAAACCCATATGAATTTAATAAGCATGCAAATACCTAGCAATTCCCCAACTGCAAACCCAGGGGCTTGCAACAGGTCAGCAACTCTACCACAGAGCTAATCTCCAATTCCTACAGCAACTTTTAAAACAGAAGTATTAAAAAACCTGAGCATGGAAGCTAGTAAGAGAGAAAAGCCACCATACAACACAGCTCTGTGAGGGCTGGCTATACACTAGGCAAAGAGGTCATCTAACAAGACCCAAATAATACAACGTGGTGAGGAAGAAAAAGACAATTCAGGTGAAGAAATTGAGGAGTCCACACGAAGAGGGACAGGAGTAAAGGAGCATATGAGAAGCTCTGTATTATCTAATTCTCTCATCCATCACTGCACCCAAATCCCCAACAAAAAGCAGCTTAAGGGAGGAAGGGTTTTACTCGGCTCACAGGTGAGAAGCACAGTCCACACTGACCATGAGGAAGCACAGGGAATGCCTGGCTTGGCCACTTAGCTCGCCTTCTTGTTTGCTTTGTATTTAGTCTGGTGATGGTGCTGCCCACACCGGAGTGGGAGGGTGATAAACTCCTTCACCCCCATAAGGAGGCCTCACAAACACACCAGTGGTAATTTTGAGCATTTCTTGGTCCAGTCAGGTTCACAGTCAAAATTAACAGTCGACAGCCGGCCTGAAAGCACCCATTCTTATCAAGATCGACTACTACCCCATACAACGTTTAGTGTGAGTGTGCACAGGTGAACTGTTAGAAGATGCACAAGCAACTACTGAGGGAACTGTCCCTCTCCTCTCATCACGCACTCACGCACTCTGGACAGGCTGGTGCCCCGTTTCCCCTTCTGCAGACAGCCCAGGCCTAAAAGATGAAGGCGGAGGTGGACGGGCTCAAGGACGAGCAAGTGCATTAAGTTATGCCAATAGGAAATACATTCAAGACTTTTGCCGGGACTACGGGGAAGAGAGGCCCCTTTCTGACCTCTATGGCTACTAGTGGCCATTTTTGTCACTCCCTAAGGAGAACTTGTTTGAAAGGATAATCTTTGGCAAAAAGGTACACTAGAACCCTAACCTGGCAACATACCAAGGCCAACATGGCTCTAATCTTTTGTTCCTGACCCAGGTGATGACAGGGTCTAATAAAAGGATATTAAAAAAAAAAAAAAAACAGAAGCTGAGATACAGAAAAGACGGAGGCCTTGAGACGTCCGTTGTATGAGCACCTGGATCTAGCCAGGCTTGAAACCACAGCCCTTTAGTCTTCCTGGTAATACAGGCCAAACTAATATAGTCCTTCTTAGGTTTTAGTCAGTTTGAGTTTTTCACAATCTTAAATTAAAAGGACACGCACAGAAAGAGTTAGGGATGTGGCTCAGCTGGCAGAGTCCTTGCTTAGCATGTACCAAGCTCTGGGCTCCATCCCGAGCACCACAGAAAAGTTGGCCACTGTGGTACACACTTGGAATCCCAGCACTCTAGAGGCAGAGCAGGAGGATTAGAAGTTTAAGGTGGCCCTACCTAGTGAGTTTGGGACTGGTCTGAGAAACACAAGACCCTCTCTGGGAAAATTCTGAAGTAGAAAAATGACAAAATCAAGTTTGTTTCCAAGAAAATAAAGACAATAAAACTGTGAATGGACCTCAGTTCACTTCTATCCATGCCTGAGGACACAGAAGAGGGGCTAAGCGACACACTTAAAACAACACTGCAGGCTGAAATACATGAGGAGGGTCTGGGAATGTTTCTGCATGCCTCTCACGTCACTACTAGGGAGACTGAGGCAGGAAGTCTTTAGCCTGAGGTCAACCAAGGCTACACAGTAAACTTGACGCCAACCTTACCTACCCAGCAGAAGCATGTCTCAGACACACCAAGAAGGAGAAAGACAGACTGACAACTGTTCACATCTCTGTAAAAAGCATGAGGCAAATGTTGCAGAGGAAAAAGACAAAGAAGTAAGCTTTGGTAGAGAAAGAGATGAAGCAGAGAGAATGCAAGGCAAGGTCAATTCAAGTTACACAGAAGCTCAGTGGGCTTGAATAAGGAACAAACCGCATCCAACTGGAGATCAAGAAATGCTTCAAATAGCAAGACATTGTATGCACGTGGGTTGGCATAATTAATATTGTGAAAATGGCTATATTACCAAGAGAATCTATAAATTCAATACAATCTCCATCAAAATTCCAATGGCATTCTGTATAGAAACGGAAAAAAAACAAACAAAAATAAAACCTACAATTCTTATGAAAGTACCAAAACCCTGAATAGAGAAAGCAATCCTGAGCAAGAACAACACCCGATTTCAAACTATGTGACAGAGCCACAGTAACAAAGCCTGTAGGGTACTGGGACAAAAACAGACATACACAACAAATGGAACAGAATCCAGGACCCAGAAATACACCCATGTCACTACTGTCACCTAACTTTCAACAGGTGCCAGAAACACTGAGCCTGAATCCTACCCCAACTCTCTACATGTGCTCTTTGGAAAAGTCATGAACCCTCTCTAGCTTTCAGCTTGCTCACTTATAAAATAGGGGTCATGCTAGCATTCATGAGTCTACTCTTGCTAGTGGACTCAATCGCAGAGCCCACTGACAGTCTACAGAATGACTCTTTTTTAGACAGGGCCCTACTATACAGCTCCAATGCTGGTCTCAACCTTGCTGGTCTCAAACCTCTGCAATCGCAAGTACTGGACTTATTAACATGAGCCACCAAACCCAGCCTTGAATGACCAACTTTAACATATAAAATTGCATCCTTTAAATATCCTTGAGATTTCCCAAAGCTCCTTTTCCTCCCCAATTTACTGAAGTTCTCCTTGTTCCCAACTTACCTGGTGTAAAATGGTATATCGTTCACGATAAAGCTCAGCTTTATCTCTTGCTGTTCCAAACAGGGTTGGTGCAGCATGATTAGTCATTGATAGACTAGAAATAAAGAAATGTCATTTAAAATATTTATAGTATATATTATATATGTATGTATACATATATTACACACACACATATGCACATTATATATATATTCCCAGTGGATAAGAGCACCTGCTTCTCTTGCAGGGGTCCTGAGTTCAATTCCCAGCACCCATATAGTAGTTAAATAGTCTGTAAATCCAGTTCCAGGGGATAAAACACCCTCTTCTGAACTCCATGGACACCAGGCACACATGTGGTATATACTCACACATGCAGGCAAAACTCTCATACACATAAAATAAAGAAATCTTTAAACAAATTTTATATCAATAAATAATACACGGTATACTTACGGAAGAAATTTTTTTCTTTCTGAATTGTAAATAAAATGTGGAATATCAAAAGCTCCAATGATATTGAAAATATGCTCTCTGAAAAACAACCCATAAAACACAGGTCTGACTAATTAAAATACAAGTATTATAAACATTAACAATTCACATTATCATCTTTTGTATATAATACTTTCACATTTTCTTCAAGCCATGTACCAATTTTTTGAAGTGTCACAAACAGTTAAGAGGATAAAGCTTTTAGCTTGTGCATTCTCTTTCCAAAAGACACGAAGGTGACGGGTGTGCCATCACCTCCCACCCCCACCGTCCCTGCACTAGGAAGGCGGAAGCAGGAGAATCAAAATCCTGAGCACAACCTAGGCTAGATGGTGAGACCTGCCTCAAACAAACCACTAAACTGATGTTCAATTTAATCCATTTATGGCACACAGACTATTCAATCAGAGTGGTTGGAAACACACCATGTTACGACTATAATCTCAACGGAAAAAATAGTAAAGACAAATCGCTTAATAACGAGATTAACGAGATTCATAACGTAGGCTGTGACTTAAAATTGAGACAAGTAATGACAGCTTCTACGGTAGAACTGTTGATCACTAGTCGCTTTCCCGTGAAAACAAGCACCTAGTCAGCCTCCCACAGGAAAATGCCAGCTTTACGCACGCACATCGTCTCGTCGACTGACTGACTGCACTCCTGGACTGCTGCCTCCACCACACCTCGCTCGATCATGTTTGATGACACTGAAAAGGAAGTTCAAAGTCAGGTTTAAAACAGGCATGAAAAGCCGGGCACACAGCTGTAATGCCTCTAGGAGGCAGAAGCAGGCGGATCTCTCTGAGTGAAAGGAAACCCTGTCTCAAAAAACCAAATAAAACAAAACAAACAAATAAATAGAAAGACAGCCCAGTAGATAAGAGCATTTGTTCTATTCTTTGGAAATAGTTTGTACTATGTAGCCCCAGCTGGCCTAGAACTTTTCACTTAGACCAGGCTAGCTCCATAGTCACAGAGCTCTACCTGCTTCTGCCTCTGCTAGAATTAAAGGCACGACGCACTACCATAACAGGTGAAACCAAACATCTTTACATTCGTTGCTCTTTTCCTGGAAATAATATGCAAAAACCAATTTTGGGATTTTTGCGGTAGGTCGAGTATCTCTTATTCAAAAATCTTTGACAGCAGAAGTGCTTTGGATTTTAAACTTTTTCAGATTTTATAATATCTGTATACTATACAGAAATGAAATTTCTTGGGGATAAGACCTAAGTCCAAATATAAAATTCCCCTTTAAAAGATCTATTTGTTTGTTTGCTTGCTTTGCTTTGTTTTGAAACAGGGTTTCTCTACACAACAGTCCTGCTGTCCTGGACTCACTTTGTAGACCAGGCAGGCTTCAAACTCACAGAGATCTGCCTGCCTCTGTCTCCCACGTGCTAGGATTGAAGTCATGCACCACTACTGCCCAGCCTGGATGGGCCTCTTTTGAAACAGGGCTTCTATATATATTTCAGGCTGGCCTTCTGAGTGATGGAAGTACAAACATTTGCCAAGTGCTTGGCTTTTTGTGCTTTCTGTACAGCTTACACATAGCCTTGAGGAAGCTAATTGTGTACAACACTATGACTCATCACATCAGGTCAAGTGAGGAATTTTTCCATTTGCAGAATTCCTTTACACTCAGAAAGTTTTGAGATTTGGGAGCATTTCTGATTTTGGATTTTCAGCTTTAACTAAACCTGTCTATAGAAAATATTAGGTCAGGAAAACTGTAAAAGCCACATGTCAATACCTTAATTTTCCGTGGTCAATTGCAGACACAATACCTCAATATATAATCAAGGGCCTTTGTTTTCTAAAGACTACTTGGTGGTAGCAATGTAGCTGTAAGTTCTGTGAGCTTCTGGCTTCAGTGAAGTTGGAGAAGTATAACTTCTCCATTCATTCATTATAGACCTGGCAAATGGGTGACACTGTCTTTAGTATTTTACAAACTTTATTCCGTGAGACAGGTGCTTCACAGCACTGATGTCAATATGCCTGCTTTTTCCTTCTGGTTGGTTGGTTTTTGAGACAATCTCACCGTGTAGCCTTGGCTGGCCTCGAACTTACTATATAGACCAGGCTAACCTTAAACTCAGAGAGATCTGCTGCCTTTTCTTCCCCAGTGCTAGGATTAAAAATGTGTGCCACCACCCCTAGCAATATGCCCATTTCTTATTGATGAGAATGCAACTTTGAGTACTAGCCCAAGAACACAGCTAAACAGGTGGTTTGAATAGGTATGGCCCAGAGACTCAATTTGAATGCTTGGCCTATGGAGAGTGGCACTATTAGGAGGTGTGGCCTTGCTGGAGTAGGTGTGACCTTGTTGAAGGAGGTGTGTCACTATGGGGGCAGGCTTTGAGGTCTCCTATGCTCAAGAGCTGTCCACAGTGAAACATAGTCTTGCTGCCTGCAGATCAAGACGTAGAACTCCTTCTCCAGCACCATGTCTGCCTGCATGCTGCCATGCTTCCTGCCATGATGGTAATGAACTAAACCTCTGAAACTGTAAACCAGTCCCAATTAAATGTTTCCAAGAGCTGCCTTGGTCATGGTGTCTCTTCACAGCAATGAAACCCAAACTAACACAGAAGTTGGTACCAGGGACTAGGGAATTGCCTGGGATGGACCTGACCATGCTTTTGCTTGGAGGAATGTAATTTGGGGACTTTGGATTAGAAAAGAAGTAGAATGTTTTGAGTGCTGCTTAATGGGCCTGGCTCAAGAGGTTTCAGAGAAGAATTTCAGTATGTCTAGAGATTGTTCTTGTGATATTACAATGAAGAAGGTGGCTGTTTTTTGCCCTCATCCAAAGTTTGCTTGAGAGAGACTAAGGTGAAAAGATTTAGATTAATTGCATTGACAAAGGAAATCTCAAAACAGCCTAGCATAGACTCTGTCCTGTGGTTCACTCTTCTAAAGAGCATTTCGATGAACCGTAGCAAATGAGAAAGAAAAAACATAAAATGTATGGTTCCAGGAAGTAAAGGGGATCCAGGAAGTAAAATAGAGCTCTGACTTCAGGGTCAGCCTGGTCTACACAGCAAGTTCCAGGACAGCCAAGTAATCTGTAGTAGTGAAGGAAAGCATCAAATACAGCTGGTGAAGATGTAACTGAGTGAGGGGCCATGTTCCAGGCCCAGCAAGCAGCAGAACTTGGCAGCTTCGGCCACATGGTTCTGGCTTTAGAGTCAAGGACAGAAGAAGGGGTTATAGAATCTCCCTCCACAGCTAAGCAGGGCCCCTGAAGCCAGGTGTGTGGCCGGGGGAGGGGGGTCCCTGCGTGGAGGCCCAGAGAGACCATCGTGTGCAGCCGAAGCCTGCGTGGATTGCCTCGGAGACCTCAAGAGGTTGGAGATGCTAGAGCTGTGGGACACCTTCTGGGGAAAGCTACTAAAAGGAGTGGCCCAAGAGAAAGGAGTCTATAAAGCTGAAAGGAGTTGGAGATCTGAAGAGCACTTTGACATCAGACATGGAGATGCAGAGTTTAGAGTTCGTTCAGTCTTGCTTTGGTCCAGTATTTTCTCACTGTGCTCCCTTCCCTTTTTGGAATGGTAATGTATATGCTGTATGTTGGAAGCATGTGACCGGATTTTCAATTTTGATTTGGGGGGGGGGGCATTCCTTTAATCCAAGCACTCGGGAGGCAGAGGCAGGTGGATCTCTGTGAGTTCAAGGCCAGCCTGGTCTACAGAGTGAGTTCCAGAACATCCAGAGCTAAACCAGAGAAACCCTGTCTTGAAAAACCAGAGAGAGAGATAGACCGAGATTGCATGAATCTAAGAAGAGATTTTGAACTTTGGACTTTTAAACATTGTTGAGACTATGGTAAACTATGGGGACTTTTGAAGTTGGACAGAACATATTTTACACTATGTTATGGCTACAAGCCTATGGTGGCGAGGGAGTGGAATGTAGTGTTAATAGATATGGCCCCATAGGACTCGTGTGTTTGAATGCTTTGACCATGGCACTATTAGGAGGTGTGGCCTTGGAGTAGGTGTGGCCGTGTTGCAGGAAGTGTTTTACTATGTGGGCAGGCTTTGAGGTCTCCTATGCTCTTGCTCCACAAAGTGAGGAACAGTCTCTTTCTGCTGCCTTCCGAGCAAGATGTAGAACTCTCGGCCCCTGCAGCACCATGTCTGCCTGTATGCTGCCATGCTTCCCATCATGATGATAATGGACTGAACCTCTGAGACAGTAAACCTGCCCCAGTTAAACGTTTTCCTTTATAAGAAAACATTGCCTTGGTCATGGTGTCTCTTCACAGCAATGAAACCCTACCTAAGACAGACAGCAGCACAAATTCAGGCCAGACTGGAAAGTGTATACACTTACTCACTCTGTCTTCACGAAAAATAGCATACATTTGAAATTAATATATAATGATTAACATCAATCATGATTTTCTACATTTTTACTGGAAAGGAATTTCTAAAGGAAGAGTGTGTTTACAATCCCGCCTTCAGCAGTGAAGAGAACTAATTCTCTCCTGCGTCATGAACCGCATCACCTCCTCCATCACTGAAGATGTTCTCCATAACATGAAAGTGAGCTAAGCCTCCTATCCTGTGGGCGGTACAAACACTGAAGCATTTCTCCTTGTTGGGCTGCTGCAGGTGGTACAGGGGAAGTATTTAACAGACAGACAGGGAAGTTTAGGCCTTCTTACTTCTCTCCCCCCCCCCCGACATTTAGAGTATCTAGCTTAATAAGAGACAGACACGGGTGTAAAGAGTAAGAGAAGTGACCAGGCCAACAGCAGAGTTCAGCAAGTAAAAGCACTTGCCATGATGACATGCGTTTGATCCGCAGGCCCACAAGGTAGGAGAAAACCCACTCCAAAGCTGTCCTCTGACCTCCACATACATACTGTGGCATAAGTGCACATATACGCGTCATTGCCGTCATCATCATCCATACAATTCTTTAAAGAACAAGATCAAATTCAAGAAGTTAAATACAGAAAAGAGGCTGTGGTGAGCCCACCTCCCCAGGAGATGAGGAACTACAAAGGAACCATTAAGAAACAGAATATCCTGAGGTCATGCCTGAACTAATCCTTTGGGAAAAGATACTACCACGTGAGTATCTCGGAGCTCTGGGGTATCTTAATAATGGAGCCTCAGTTTCCATTTAAAATTACCTCAGAGGTCGAAAAGCTGTAACAATCTAAGCATCATCAGAAAACGTTACTTACACGACTGTTTTTCAGCTGCATCAATGATCTTTTCTAGGGTCTCGTCAAGCTCCAGTTCAGTGACAGACTGAAGAGCTTCCGTGAGGTACTTAGTGGCTTCACTAGTGAGAGAAAGGAAAGATAAGACCCAAAGTGTCCATTCACTCCTCCCTTCAAGCGGTTCTCATTTTGCCTACAGTTTCTGAACAAAACCACCCTTCCAGCCTTGGCTAACAAAACTGTTTTGTTTGGTGGTGGTGGTGGTAGCAGTGGCAGGAAACTGTTACTTAAATCTTAGAAAATACAAGCTTTATAAAAAGTCAGCATAACAGAAAACTCAGTTCTCCTCCCTGTAAAGCCTGAAGTATCAAGGCTTGAAATAGTTAATTCAAAAATAAGCAAACAATTAAAACAACAAATCCCCACAGATAACATTAAGATACCTTAAAAAAACAAACAAACAAACAAACTAAACGAGCTGGCTATCCTGGACAACCTGACCCCATCATGACTGGAGTGTATGAGGTATGAGACCCAAAGCTGAAACCCCAACTTAAGTCTTACTCTGTTTGTTTGTTTGTAACAGGGTTTCTCTGTGTAATCCTGGCTGTCCTGAAGCTCACTGTATAGGCCACGCTAGCCTCGAACTCAGAGATTCACCTGCCTCTGCCTCCTGAATGCTAGGATTAAAGGCGTGCACCACTACCAACCAGACAGACTTCAGTCTTGTTTGGATTTTTGGCCCACAGAAAATGTAGGCTAAAATATGAGTGCAGTTTTAGTCTTTAAACCATAGGGTAATCTATTAAGGGCAATAGATAACAGTCTTCCCACAGTAAAGCCCACGGTGTCTTATTCCACACACGATGTTTCGAAGCTAAAAGATTTGAGTGTGTGTCTCACTGAGTCAACTAATGAGCTTCCAACAGCTTAATAATGGTACATTTTTTTATTATTAATTACACTTTATTCTCTTTGTATCTCCCCATAAGCCTCTCCCTCCTCCCCTCCCGGTCCCACCCTCCCTCCCCTTTCTTCATGCATGCCCCTCCTCAAGTCCACTGATAGGGGAGGTCCTCTTCTCCTTCCTTCTGATCTTAGTCTATCAGATCACATCAGGAATGGCTGCATTGTCATCTACTGTGGTCTGGTAAGGCTGCTCCCCCCACAGGGGGAGGTGATCAAAGAGCAGGCCAATCAGATTATGTCAGAGGCAGTCCCTCTTCCCATTACTATGGAACCCCCTGGTATCTCCCTCCTTTCCTTCTGGACCCAACATTCTTCCTGAACTGTCATGGGCTACATCTGTGCAGGGGTTCTAGGTTATCTCCATGAATAGTCCTTGGTTGGAATAATGGTACATTTTAAGTGAAAGGAAAGAAAAGCCAATTGCTCGGTTTAAAATTCAAGGATTAACCAAACTAAATTCATCACTTTCTCCCCAGGGAAAACCCAGACTGAAAACCCAGACTGACCAACCCTAGGACACTACTAGGCAAAACGTAAACTTAAAAGTTTCATAAAGCTCATTTAGGAAAACAAAACAATAAACTACATATAGAAACTCTGACTATATATTCAAACTCTGACTCAAAAGAACTCAGCAGGTACCCTGCATTATAAAATATAAAGGCATTTAAAATATAAAGCAAGCTCTTGGAGATGTTCATCCCACAGGACTAAAAAGGCACAGTATAGGCAGGAAAACTTCCTTTTGAGCAAGCTCTAAACTAAAAATGTTTTAAATCTATCCAATTTTTAATTCTCCTGAAAAGGAATGCGAAACCCAAACGGCGCGGCCCCGCCCAGCCCGGAAGCAAGGCTTGCGCCCGGTGCGAGGGGCGCGGAACCCTGGAGAGGCTCTGCAGCCTCAGAGACGCCAGGCCGACCTCGCCTCCTCCAGGAGAGCGTTCCAGGGGTCTCCGCTGGCCCGGGGCACTGCGGCGGGACTCACCCTCTGAGCAGCAAGCCGCGCAGCTTGAAAGCTGAGACCGCGCGACTCCGCAGCCGCTCCGGCGCCATGTTCGCGATTTGGCGCCACCGCCGAAGCCCCGCCCCTCGTGAATAGACACGCCCGTTGCTCCACCCCCATCGGCGCGCCCCGCCCCTGTGTTCTGGGCCTGGTGAAATGGATTTTGGGCCTCCACAAACTCCAGATCCCCGGGGAATCTCAGATGCTAAGCCTAAAGCAGGAAGCCACTCGCAGGCTCGCCCTCCTGGGGAGTGAAGCAGAGTGGTCTGAGTGGGAACAAGCATTCTTTATCCCAAATGCCCTTTTGAACACTCAGCTGTCTCAAACTCAGCTACCCTCTGCTTGTACCTTCTCTGACCCTAGCCAAGCTTCCCCACACCCAGGATCTTCCCTTAGGAGAGTTACAGGGTAGCTGTTTAGCGGTTCTACAAAAGCTCTGGAAATATTGTCTTCACTGTTTTCCTCAGCAGGTCCTCTTCCACCACTCCTGTTCAACAAGCACTTTAGTGGAGGACCTCCTCACAATGCGCTGTCATTAGCAACGCATTGATTGGATTAATTGATGTGTTACAGACATCAATTAGCAATGTCTCACTTTTTCCACGAGAGTTTTGTTTTGTTTTGTTTTGTTTGTAACCGGTGGAAAGACAAACCAAACATTATAAAGGGTTGGCTTGAGGTGAATTGTCAATGCGGTGGCGCTGCTCTTGCTGCGTGTTGACGCATGGCTTTAATCCCAGAACTGAGACGGTAGAGCCAGGCAGACCTCTGTGAGCTCCCAGGCAACTTGTTCTACATCGTGACTTCCAGGCCAGTCAATGAATCAGAGTGAGACCAAATAAATAAATAAGTAAATAAAATGCTAGCTATGGTAAGATAAATAAACCATGAGCCTACAGCTTACATGATACAGGGGAGCACTGGGCATGAGGTCACAGGTCTGAACCCCAAGAGTTCAAAGCATGCCTTGGATACATGAGACTTCTTGGGAGTTGGGAAACAAATATGCAAAAAACACGATTTCTTAGCAGGTATATGCAATTATTTCTGGGGCATACAGTTAAGATCTTTTTAAAAAGCAAAATAGTAGATATTTGCCTGGTTTTACATTTTAAACTTTTGAAAAGTTAAGCTAGACAGAAAAGACGGGAGAGATCCCAACTGTGTCACTTTGAATGAGAAATGTTCCTCAGAGGCTCTGGTATTGGAGCACTTGGTTCCCAGTTGGGGACGCTGTTTGGAGAGGTTTAGGTGGTGCAGCCTTGCTGGAGGAGGTCCATCAGTGAGGGCAGGCTTTGAGATCATGTAGCTTCACCCTGCTTCCAGCGCCCTTCCTCTGCTTTGTGCTTACATGTGAAGGTGGGAGCTCTCAGCTTCCTGGTTCTGCCAATTGTTGCCATGACTCCATGCCATGGCTGCAGTGCATAAAAAAGCTTGCTGTGCAAGCCTGAGGAGCTGGGTTCTAATCCCCAGAGCCTACATAAATCCAGGTGTGGTGGTGAGAATCTAATCCCTGCAGCATTCCTGTAGCCAATAAAAGGTTGGACATAGGGTCTTTGGAAGCTCATGAGTCCCAACAGTGAACAGCTAAGAGCCCCTGTCTGAAATGAGGTGAAAGACAAGGATGGACACTGATCTGACCTCCACATGTATGCTGTAGCGGCACACAGGTCATATACATACATGGATACATCATAATACACACCCACAATTAAAGGGGTCAAATTGTCCTGGTTATCAATTATGCCCACCTCTCCCAGGAGTATGCTGTATGCATTTCTCCACTGCAGGAGGACATAAATGTTTGAGTGGGACACACCCTGCATGCACTGGAGAGTTTTGCTGAGAGAACAAACTGAGAGGCAGTCATATGTGGCTGGGCGAGACTGTAAAGTGACCTGTCTTGATTAGACCCCTATGACTACCAAACAGCCCAGGCTGCCCAGGGGCGATGATGAGATCGCAGAAAGCTTTAAAAAGTTAGGGTAAAGATAAATCGCTCTCTCAAACATCCAGGGGATGGCGTTGGAGGGTAGGAGCTGTGAAAAAGCACAGTGTCTCCTGAAAGTGAAGTGGATTATAGAGAATTGAATAAAGAAGTGGCTATGGTACCCCATACCACTCTTTTGTCAGGGCAGTTAATACAGGAGATGGGATCTCTCCATATTGCGCTTGAAGCTTGCTAATGCCTTTTTCAGTAGTCCGTTTGCCTGTGGATCCTGAGGCCACTTCACATTCACTGGTATGAAGGACAGGTCACGTCCAGATACCTTCACCAAGGTCACCACCGAGGAACAATAAAGGGAGATTACCTGAGGACAGAGGACAGATGTCATGGGATAGTGATGGAAGACCTTGTTTTGTTATCTTGCCTATTTTTCAATAAGAAGATTTTATTATGTAGATGAAGTGAGGCAAAACTGAGGCTTTTACAGCTTTAGAAAAGCATCTGAGAGGCTGGGGAGATGGCTCAGCTGATAAAGTGTCTGCCACACAATATGAGGACCTGAGTTCAGATCTCTAGCACCCACATAAAAGTTGGGCATGGTGGCATGACTGTAGTTTTTGCAGGGTGGGATGGGGTGGGGGGAGCAGAGACAGATGGATTCCTAGAACTTACTGGCCAGCCAGTCTAGTCAATTGATGAGATCTGGATTCAGTGAGAGACTCGGTCTCAAAAAATAGGGGGCGGGTCAGTAAAGGAAACCACTCAACCCCAACTTCTGGTTTATGTGCGCACACGCACACACTCATGAACATACACACACACACACATTTGCCCATACACATTACATGATACAAAGTTTTAAAAAGTAATAATAAAGAGGAAGGAATCTGAAAGACCAGGTAAACCTAACAGAATGAAGATGAGGTTGGGATGGTGGCACACATCTTTACTCCCAACACTTGGAAGACGGAGGCAGGTGAATTTTTGTGGGCTCAATACCAGCCAACTCTGTCTCAAAAACAAACAAAAAATAGTAGCTGGAGAGATGACTCAACAGATTCAGAACTCAGTTCCTGAACCCATATGGTAATTCACAATCATCTATAATTCCAGTTCAAAGGATCTGATGCTCTCTTCTGGCACTATACACACAGGGTGCACAGACACACATCCAGGCAAAATGCCCATATACACACACTCACACACAACTCTTTTAAAAAATTATGGAGGCCATCACACCTTTAATCCCAGCACGCAGGAGGCAGAGGCAGGTAGATCTCGGTGAGGCTGAGGCCAGCTTGGTCTATACTAATGAGTTTTAGGACAACTAGAGCTACATAATAGAAAGACCCTGTCTTAAAAACAAACAAACAAAAGCTAGATCAGTCCATATTAGGTACAGTAGGCAAACACAACTATAAAATTCTTGAAAGTACTTTAGCCTAGTAAGATACATGTGATACAAAGAAAATTATAAATAGCTGGCACCTGTGAATGCAAACACATGCGGGTATTTGCAGAGCTTCTAAGCCATTGGTATATTTTCATGCCTCGCTTCACCTGTTACCTACCTGTTGTTAGCAATAAAAATGGTGTTGGGCTATATAATGTTTATTGTTATTTGTCCTATGATTATCTTGGCGGTATCAAGATACCTGCTATCACAATCAAATAAGACACAGACACCTGTTAGATTTTATAATTGCCTTATTTACCTTGGGCTGGGCAGACATTCTACCTACACTGTCTGAATAACCTCACCATCCATCTCCCAGCCCCCATCCAATGCCATCCACCTTAACCATTCCTCTCTGGGCTGCCTTCCATCCATTATCCCAAGATATTTGCTTATATTTTTCATCTTGGTGTTTTCTCCATCCACAACATCCTTGGAGCCCTTCCTCCCGGCCCAGGTTCCTTCTCCACGCTGACCCATCGTGGTGTCTTCCACCTCCTCTCTTCTCATCTGTCTGTTTCCTGTGACTCTCTTGAACTCAAAGCCCAGGAACCTTAGCCACGCCTACCCCATTCTGCCCTGTCCAGGTTTTAGGCCTTCAATTAATCAATCAGGTATAATGTCTTAGGCAGGTTTACATAAGGATAGGTGTATCCAGGCAGTCACCAGATCTTGAGGGTCAGTAGTTAGCATCAAAATACAAACATCAGAGCAACCCCCAACACCCATCCTTTTAATCACTTGAAAAAAAGAGGGGAGGGGTACCCTGTGGGGCTGGGATAGAAAGGTCAGAGAAGCTGACATTCTTGTAAAACAAGCTAAATTGCTGTGTGCCCCATGACCTCAATGTTCTTCAGGTTAGAAGCTGCCAGAAGATCAGAGGGTGATTGCCAGAAGTTGTGGAAAGACAACCCAAGCAATGTGCAAACTGTTCCAATGCAGTTTTGGTCCTGAACATGGGATCAAAAAGCTAGGAGTGGGGTGGAGGGGAATTGGCATTTATTCCTAAAACAGAATTGCTAGCTTTTTTTTTTTTTAATTTCAACAGGCGAACTCTATCACAGGTGCCTTGGTAATAGTAAGAACAGATTACCAAAGCATGGGTTGGACTGAAGGCCTCTTTCTGGGGTGGCACGGAATCAAACTCTGACAAACTGATATGCATACTCACAGCAATGACGTGTGCTATTTGTAATCCCTGCCATGAATGCCATGAGGCTATGTTGGAGCCAGCATCCTTTCAAGCCACTGTACCTCCATCAGTAACTGAACTAACGGCAGAACCAGGAAGGGACTTTGTTTATCCCTGTTAATGTCTGGTTCATGAATGACAACAGCAAGGGCTCCAGACAGGAATGGTGACTGTAGCAGTACCAAGAAAGACAGATGTCATATGGTTGGAGATCAGGGAAAAACAGAGTAGCCAGTGGGGCTAACAGTAGTGCCTTAGTTACTGTTTTATTGCTGTGAAGAGACACCACAACCAAGGCAATTCTTATAAGGGAAAACATCTAATTGGAGGCTGGCTTACAGTTTTACAGGGTTAGTCCATGATCATCATTCAGGAAGCAGACAGACATGACACTGGAGCAGCAGCCCTGAGCTTTTACAGCCTGATCTGCAGGCAGAGAGAATGACACTGGGCCTGGTGTGGG